AGACAGGGAAAAATTGTGGTGCGATCAGCTCATTCTGCAGGTATCCTCAGCCTTGTTTTACTGATGCTTGATAGAAACATCAGGAAAAAAAATGGGAAGAGGATAAAAACCCTTTTAGAGTTCAATATAGGTCCACATTAATGTTCTGGCTTAATTGGCGTGATAGCTAAATAGCACCAAAGAAACCATCTCTTCCAACTCTTCCTCTGCTTCAGATGAGAGACGTGGTTGGCGCCGCTACCGCAGGGCAGACATACTATCGGAGCTGCATGGACAGTACTATTAAATATATGAACTTCTACAAAATCCCCCGAACTGTTCAGAACCGGGTCAAAACGTGGTATGAGTACACCTGGCACTCGCAAGGCATGCTAGGTGAGCACCTAAAATGCTACTGTCAAAAGTGCAGTGGGGCATCAGTGCTGCAGGTTCAGGGCATTGCTGATCTTGCTGTTCCCCTAGATAGTCCTGGACCAACTCTCCAGGGTCATAAACGCATAGGTTTGGGCTTGTTTTACTCCTGGGAACTGTGAAGATAGGGAAAATGGAAGGGTTGATCAGTATGATCCATTGCCCTTTAGACCTGTGAGTTTCCCAGGCCCACAAGACTTCAAGGAGATCCTCCTGATTCAGCTGGTTCCCTCTTCAGGCTGCCAAGATATGGATCACTTTCCCACTGGTCCCTTGCACACATGCTTGGATGCTTTGTCCCAAATACCGAGGGTCACCAGTTTTGTGCTCTTTGCTTCTTGTAGATGAGTCAGAGCTGCTGGTGCAGCTGCCGGACAAGATGAGGTTGGACATTGCCATTGACGTGAACTACAGCATTGTGAGCAAAGTGGCACTTTTCCAGGTACTGCTCATGCCTGACGGGATGGGCACAGGATGTAGGGACATTCTAATGCCACTGCTGACTTTATTTTGCCCCAGGGCTGTGACAGACAGATGATCTTTGACATGCTGAAGCGGCTCCGCTCTGTCGTCTACCTACCCAACGACTATGTGTGCAAGAAGGTAAGGAGGCACCCCAACAACCCGTTCTTCTCCCCAGCATCCCAGCAGCGACATGCCTGGCTGAGGATGTCCCTCACTGCATGCTATGGCCTTGGGATAGGGGTGCAAAGAGCCGCACAACTCCCAAAGACACATGGAAGGAGGCAGGTGGCAAGTTGAAACTTGGCTTCCTCTTCCCATACTCTTTGGGTCTTGACGCACTTGCTCGGGGCTTTGCGAAGTGCGTGGAGCCATAAAGAAGGGCAAAAACTGGGCATGGAGCCACGGCAGGGAAGCAAAATCCCAGCAAAAGCCTCTCCAGGAGCAATTTGTTGTATTTCTCCCAATGTCCCTGTGCAAAGAGTGACCTCTCCTGCTGCAGCCCTGAACAGCAGGAGCACAGGGAGAGACGCACCAAGTCTGAGCAGCCTTTGGGGTTGGATAAGGATGCTTGGAGGAAGCAGCAGGGATTTCTCCCTCCCTTGCAGGGAGAAATTGGCCGGGAGATGTACATCATCCAGGCGGGCCAAGTACAGGTGCTTGGCGGAGCCGACGGCAAAACCGTGCTGGTCACGCTGAAAGCTGGGTCTGTGTTTGGAGAAATAAGGTGAGTAGAGCGTCGGCAAGGAGAGGCAGCGGGTGGGCATGGGCAGAGCGAGGCGGGAGGCACGAGGATGAGCAGGGAGCCTGGGGGACAAGGCCAGGTGAGGCAGCTCCTCACGGGAATCTTTGCAATTAAAACCCACCAGCGACATTGCGGCAAGTGAAAGCTCAACTCCGCGTACCCTGAGGAAGAGTAACGGCGGCACGAGGTGGGGAGTTTAGGAGAGAACTCTTGTCCCGAGTTGCTTTCACATCTTGTGATGTCTCGTGCAGCTTGCTGGCAGCCGGAGGGGGGAACCGCCGCACGGCGAACGTGGTGGCACACGGATTTGCAAATCTGTTCATTTTGGACAAGAAGGACCTGAACGAAATTCTGGTGCATTACCCGGAGTCGCAAAAGCTGCTGCGGCGGAAAGCAAAGTAAGAGTTAAGCCACCCTCAAGACCCCTGGGGCCTTAAAAAGGCTGCACCTGCCAAGGGTTTCCCTTTAGTTGTGGGCAGAAAGACCCCAAAGTGAAGCATCCTCCAGCCTAAAGAAAATCCAACGAAGGCAAAGCCTAAAGGAGCTGTGGGGAGGCAGCAGAGGGCACCCAATCCTTGCAATTGGCTCCTGCCGTGGCTGCCGTCACCGTTGCCTCTGGGCTGAGCATGAGAGATCCCCAAAGCGCCAGTTTGCAGCTTTCCGCCCCCAAAATGGGCTGTTTCTATGATACGGTGTCAGAGCTAAGGAGAGGTGTCTGAGGGGGTGACATTTTTAATGACATATTTGTGCACAGCACAAAGCGGATGCAACCTGGGGACAAACTTGATGAAAGTTTAGTCTTTTAAAATGCTCTTAAATCTCCTCTTTAGTTTCAGCATTGCTTTAGATTCGCTCATCAGTCCTGCCTAAGGCTTTAGAGGTCCCTTTACAATAAAGCTATGAACTTCTGGCATTAGAAAGCCAAGCTCATCCAACATATTCCCAGTCAGAAATGGTCTCTTGCTTTTCTTGTTGCAGGAAAATGCTGAGGAACAACAACAAACCCAAAGATGACAAAGGGGGGCCTGGGGACTCCATCATCATCCCCCCGAGACCCAGCACGCCCAAGCTCTTCCAGGCTGCCCTGGCTGCCGCGGGGAAGGTGGGAGGCAAAGGGAGGCTCGCTCACCTGCGTTGGAAGCTCAAGGAGCTGAAAGCAATGCAGGCCATGCAGGTTAGAAGGGACGATAATTTGGGGGTGCTTTGTTAACCATGAAATAGCCACTCTCTGCCACGGGCTCTTGAGGCTGAGTATAGCTGGTATCTAGCCTAGGCAACATGGAGCCTAGCATCTTGGTCCTTGCTTTTGCTCTTCTCCAACTGGGACAGGTCAAAAAGCTGCTGAAGGTGCCTCAAAGACCTGAACAGAGACCACAGGGCTGACTCTGAAGTAGTGTGGATAAAGCAGAAGGATTGACTCGAGCTGGTCCTGAGATGGGGTCATAGTCCCCTACGTAGTCCTAGCAGAGCAGTTTGTAACTCCTCAATGGGCTGGTGGGACGGATGGTGATGACGGCACCCAGTGCCCATGGGGCAGTCAGGAGCTGCAAAGCTTTCACAGAGTGGTTAGGGCAAAGCCATGCACCGTCCTCCCAGCGCGGCATGATCTAGAGCAAAATTACCCTTAGTTTTGTGTCCTAAGTGACTGAAAAAAAGATGCCCTATCCGTTCTTGTTTATTTTCCCCCACTCTCTCCACTAGTCTCATAAAAAACATCTCCACACAGACCTTGCTACCAGCCTCCTTAGTGTGGAGTTATACAGGCTGCCACATCTGAAAGCATAATAAAACAAGAGGCGAGATGAAGCGCGCCATGGCCTTGACAGCGGGGTAAACATCTAGGGAGCTGCGAGAGCTGGGAACGCGTTCCTGGCGTCCTGTGCAAAAAGCCTGTCAAGACCGCATGAAGCTCAGGGTGCAACCAAGTGAAACGTGAGCTAGAAGCTGCGCAGATGGTGATGATAGCAAGATCCATCCCCACTGGGTGCATTTATTAAAGGCCTTGTCTGTCCACTGCTGACCCATTAAATGGACCTGTTGCTTCGGCCCTCACCAGGAGCACATCGGGAGAAGGGGTTTCCAAACCTGCGGCCACTTCTCTCTGATGGAAGAAAAATGGGCCTTAAGACAGGACAGTCGGGGATTGATTTCATCACCAAAGTTTTTGCAAAGTTAGTGCCGAGATGAGCCCCTGCAAATGCTCTAGGTGCTATGGGATCAGAAAAAGAGATATAGCCTGGGGTGTGAGAGCTTCACTGTCCTTGTCTCAGCACACTTATCTCAAGGCATTAAGGTTATAATCACAGAACCACAGAATGGCTGAGGTTCCACAGAATGGTAGGGACCTCTAGATGTCTAGAGACATCTAGTCAAATCCCTCTGCTCAAGCAGGGTCACCTAGAGCATGTGGCACAGGGTTGCATCCAGGCAGGTTTTGAAGATCTCCAAAGCAGACTCCACAACCTCCCTGGGCAGAGCACTATTCCAGCTCTGTAATCCAGCTTCTCTTCTCTCAAATATCATTTTTTTTGCAGCAAAGTGATATCCCGAAGATGAGGTTGGTGTGGTGGAATCCTCTTAGATGCCTTGCTAGCTTTGGACAAGGGAAAAACAAAGTGTTGTAGCCCCAATGGCTGTAGCTCAAGGGTTCCAGCTAAGGGACCTAGCTACAGACCTGGGTCTTCTAATGTTTTGCCATCTTGTGCCTTGCAGGATCCCAGTTTCAGTCCAGTTCCACCCAAATCACCAGTACACCGGCGATCGCCCACAGCCTCCCCCAAAGCCGACACCCCAAAGGGGGAAGAAGTCATCGCGACGTCTTCAGACAATTTAGTCGCCATTCGGATGATTTCTGCCCCAAAAGAAGATGAGGAGATCCTTTCTGCTGAGATTTCAGAAAAGGAAGAAGTGAAATGAAAAACGAGCAAATTCCAGGGTAGAAATGCAACAACTAGGTGTTTTTAGTCGTTAATCATTTCCATGGGGTGGCTAGAGGCTTTGCTAACTCTTGATATCAATAGGCTCTGCCTTTCTTTTCTGCTTAGACCTTCACCCACTGCTGATAAAGCCCATTACTCTACGCAATCACTTTTTACCACTATGCGTGGTTAATGAGTGTCGGTTCAGGTAAAGCTTGGAGACATTTTCTCCTCTGAAATCTGAGTCATTGCTTGGCCAGGCTTCTCATGCCGGAGGAAAAAAAAAAGAAAAAAAAAAAAAGATTCCTCTGTTGGCCTCAAGGTTGTCACGAGCAGTTACCGAGTGATTCATCTGGAAAGGATTCGAGTTAGTCTCACAAGTTGAACAGAGTTCAAATCAGTCGGTGGTGGAAAAAAGCCCGTCCGGGCACGCACAGGCTGCAGGGCCTCCTGCTCCGCTCAGGATGCCGTTCCCCACAGCGGCAGCCTTCGTGGCGGTTGTGAAGAAGAGCCAGGCTGTAGAAGATGCAATATGTGAGGAAGGGGTGGGCAAGAGGAAGAGTCTTACGTTGCACTGGGAGCAATCCAATATTGCCATTGGAAAGAGGAATGAATGGGAACAGCCTGCAACTCCCCATCGTTGGCAGTTTTTAAGGACAGATTGGATGACCATCTCTTGGGGATGATAGAAGCCCAAGGGAGCTCCTCATGGACCAGGCAATGGCCTCTGCTGAGGCATCCCAGCCTTGGTTTTCCATGGTTCTGCCGCTGCAGAAGAGGAAAATCAAGATGGGATTGAGAAGGTGAAAAGACTTGCTGACTTCTGGCTGGACCAGAAAAAGAAAAAAAAGAGATCTCCTCCTCTCCAAGCCAGTATTTCACGTTCAGCCCAGAGTTTCCTTTGGAGGAAAAGAGGGGCTGCAGTTGCTGCATGGAACCGCCACTGGGATGGGATAGAGGGAAATGTTGGCTCCTGAGCAAATCCCCACAGGTCTGGAGAGTCTATGAAGCGGCAGAGCTCTGAATAAAAGGGATCGTGGTGTGGGTGCCATCCGCCCTTATCTTTTTTGGCCAAAATTCTTCTTTTCATGAAGGACCTTTTGGCTGCTCTTCGTCTCATGACGGGGTGTCATGCTTTGCTGCAATAGCCATCAAATTTATCCCCTCTCTTGGAAAACACATGGAGGAAAAAGGAGGAAAAAGAAAGACATAAATTAATGTTAATTAACAATTATTTATTTTATTTAAAGATAAAGCTTCAGGAAACTCCACCATGTTGCCCAAGGGTCTGAAGTCGTCCCTATCTTTAAGATGGCAGAGGAAAACCTCAACTACAGCGAGAGCATCAAAACCTCTCTGCATATCCCTCATCTGTCATCATTTACAATTTGTTCCCAGATGCCCCTGTTGGTGGAAGGATTTGGAGGGCAATATAAAGTTTTTCTTTTCATTCTATCAACATTTAAACTATTGAAATGGGAAAACATGCTGAAATCAAACAAGGACGCTGAATTTGCACTGCATTTTTACATAGTTTACAAAGGTAGTTTAAATAACTTGCACGCTTTAACGACTTTCATCATCTCACGCGTTTACAATAAAGCCAACTTAGATTATACTTCCTTTTCTGTGGTTTTTATTTCAAAACTCCAGTCATTTTCCTTCTTTTCATCTTTTTGAAAACATGATTGATCGATTTCCTTCATAAGGAGGAAAAAAAAATTATTGATAATTACCTTCACATGAAGATGTCTCTTTTTTCTCTCTTTTTTTTTTTTTTTCCCAAGATGATAAGGGAAACTTAAGTGCTCAGTCTGGAAACTCGTGAAGATTTGAAGTTATCCCCCTTAGTGATCTGCTTAGGGCATTCGTCCTTTTGATGCTAGTGCCCAGGTGATAACTAAGGTCAAGGTGGGGTTCAGAGGCAGGTTTGGAGACATGAGCCCTGGTCCAGCAGTCATTTCCCTGTTGGGAAATCCCATCCCTTCTACCTAAGTGAGCAGATGGGCAGCTCTGGGCCCCGTTATGGTCTCTGCCATTGGGGGAGTTGTCATAAATTCGGGATTCTGATGATTTTTTTGCAACTCTGATTACTGAGCGCTCCGGTTTTGCTGCATTTGCAATGGGTCTCCTTTGCGGCTCTTATTAAATATTTTTTGCAGCACGCGCTTGGTCCATCATTTCCACCACCCTAATAATGTTCCCTGCATTTTGTAATGTTCTGTATATTTTTATGGCTTTATCCTCTTTGCTCCTTCTCTTTCAATGTCAGTCGAATGCTGTATTGGTCTGACTTAGCTGTTTCCATTCCTCATATAATATTTATCCAGCACAAGGGTTGCTTATTGCCCACCTGGCATCCACTGCACCCTTGCAAATCATGCTGTGCTGTCTTGTTTCCCCATGTGTATGTTTTATATTTATAAATAAGTGGTTTCTCAGATGTCCACGGTCATGGGAACTAGAAAGTGTTGCACCAATCTTTGACCCTTTGCAACTTTGGGATAATAAGGGGAATAGGTAATTTTATTGATGGAAAAAGTCAAGTGTGCTGTTGTCAGATCTTTCCTAATGGGCTGATTTTGCCCCCAAATCATTAGTGGTGTCTTCACAGATGGTTTTCTCTATTCATATGGCAGATGTACGATTTTCTTATATCTTTCTGAAAATCGAGGGTGATTTAATGCTCCGTAGGAACAACATAACCCTACAATGGTATTTAACAGCACAGAAAGTTGTTGTCTGAAGCAGGGCAGGTGTCCTCCCTGCAATCTCCTAAAAAGCTTAAGAGCACCTGCAGGTTAATCACCAATAAGGCTGTAAGGAAAGTAAAAACGAATAAGCAGGTTTGGGGATTAGTCCTGGGTCAGGAAAGAAATTGCAGGATGAGCGGAAAGCCCTGGATAATGGTTAATTAGGAAGCTCGAAATAAAATCAAACTCTCAGCATGAAATCTGAGGGTCTCAACCCACAGCATGCGCTCCTAATTCTGCGAGTATTCTGCACGCCACTTATATACCATATATATATGTGTGTGTGTGTGTGTGTATATATATTTATGCTTTGTGCATCTGTTTGGAGTTGCGGTTGCAATTCAATTCCCCTAAATCCACCTTTGCCTTGCTATAAAATGGAGTTAAGACGAGTCCTTGCTGCCCCTGGCCTTGTCCTAGCGATGGGCAGGAGCCTAAGGCTCCTTTTGAGTGCAGTAGTAACAGTTAGTACAGGAGGCGATGCACTGGGACAAGGCCAGGAGCTGGTTTGGGACGGGGTCATATGGAGGGATATAGAAAACGCACTTGCCCATCGGTGCTCGTGGAACACCGGTGTCAGCGGTTTGCTGGGTGGACCGTAAGCTGCTTTCTTTTTCTTAATGCGTCTTGGCCAGATGGGAGCGCAGGGGAAAAGGCAGCGGTTGGGTTTCGGCGGACTCGACGGCGGTCACCGCTCCGCCATGCACGCGCTCAGCGCGCTGCTAGGGCTCTCCCTGCGCGCCTGGCTCCAAGGCAAGCGGAAGCACCCAGAGCCCGGGCTTGGAACAGTCTGTCCAGGAGCTGGGGAGGGCCGGCCCGACGCACAGGTGAGGGTCGGGGTGTGAGGGGCACGGGGTAGCTCCGGTTCGGGCACTGCCTGCAGCCCAAGCCAACCCGAGCATCTCCGCATCCCATCAGCTTTCGGGAATGACCAGGCCGTATGCACATGCTGGCTCCATATTTCTCCTTGAGTTAATCCTGATGATGCTGCAGCAGGCGGGAGAGAGGGGTTCTCCCTAGTGGGTCCCCATTAAGGGACTATTTTGCTCAAGGCAAATGCCTGGTAGAGAGGACTCAATTTCCCCTTTCTCATGGTGCCACCCTCATGCTGAGCTTGGAGGTGTTTGCCAGAAGCGTGCGCAGGGATTTGGGGATCCCTCCTGTGATCCTTCATGCCTTCCTTGTCTTCGGAAACGCTCTCACGATAACTGATGGACCCCAGCTCATGGGCAGGGACAGGAACCTCATCTTTGTCTGAGGACAGGAGGTGGGGACCTATCTTTGGGTTGGACATAGGGATGTGACTTCGGAGTTGTAATTCTGGCTTGGATGAGGGGGATGTAGCTTTAGACTGGATGTGGGGACCTAGCTTTGACATGTGGCTGCAGTTTTGGGTTGGACATGGGGAGGTAGATTTGGGTTGTATGTGGGGTTGTAGCTTTGGGCTAGAAATGGGGATGTACCTTTGGCTTGGACATGGGGATATAGCTTTTGATTGAACGTGGGCATGTAGCTTTGGGTTGGACAAGGGACATCACTCTGAGTTGGAAGCAGGGACATATTTGGGAGTTGGATGTGCGAACATAGCTTTTGGGTTAGACGTGAGGACATGGTTATGGGTTTCTGCCTGGGGTTGGTGAGCTTGCACCAAGCCTGTGCCATGGGCAGGGTGAGGAGCCGTTTGCATCCCGACAAACATTTTCTGTCCTGAGCCCACACTTAAGGCGAGGGAGCTCCGCTCCTATCAGTCGAGGCCGGTTCCCTTCCACATCTCATCAGCACCTGAGACGAAGTGAGAACACGGCCCCAGCTGCCTCCTCGTCGCAGGCTGCGGCTGAACTGCATCCATTATACATAGCCCCATAAATATTCCATGGGGGATAATGTTTCCGTGGGGGATAACAACGCCACTTCGCCAGGGGAGAAGGAGTACAGAAGGGTGTTGGTTGGCTCGCATCGTCCCACAGCTCAGGAAAATTGGGAAAATTGGAAAAATTGAAAGGTGAGGAGCTGGGGGTGGCGGGTTGCTAAAAACACCCAATTCTCCTTACAGCAGAGTGCTTTTTTCTAGGCAATTGCCCAAATCACCGGGTTCCCCAGCTCCGAACCCCTGGCCAGGTTCCCATCGCCACATTGATGCTACCAGGCATCCTAAACTCCCCATGCCAGCTTCCAAAGGAGCCCCGATTCCTCCGGAGCTCACCAGCGCTTAATCAAACCTCGCTAAAGAGCTTAAATAGCGCGGGGGGAAATAGCAGCCCGGCGCCGCGCGA